TTCCGTCCTTGTGACCCCGTTGATCCTATGGCCGGTCACCAAACCCCCACACGCCACAATGCATAATCATCACTTATGACGCAGAAGTGGTTCCCACTGAAAATTAGCCTGCTGAAAGCTTCGTGCTAAGGTGGACTCGCCTTGCCGATGTATTGGGCCCAGTCACATTGGTTTTCAACGTTTTCCGCACTTGCACGCACGGTGAATATGAATCGATAACTGTCTAGAACAGGACAGTGTATCACATGTTCAAGCTGGTATTCAACGATGATCCATGCTCACTACGCACGGGCGGCAAATACACAATCCCTTGCCCCTCCCACTGACTGTTGCAGATTTTTCTATGCTTTCCGACAGTCCGCAAAATGTGTTCCTTTCCAGTCCTTGTGACCCCGTTGATCCTATGGCCGGTCACCAAACCCCCACACGCCACAATGAATAATCATCACTTGTGAAGCAGAAAGTGGTTCTCACTGAAAATTAGCCTGGTGGAAGCTTCGTGCTAAGGTGGGCTCGCCTTGCCGATGTATTGGGCCCAGTGACATTGGTTTTCAACGTTTTCCGCACTTGCACGCGCGGTGAATATGAATCGAATTATGATCGCGTTCCCTACTAGAATGGTTGAAAAATTAGGAGTAACAATTAACTGCTCACAAGTGTGCAAATTTTCTGACTACGTAAGCGCACGACCTAACCCGTGTGATCATCGGAATTCACGCCGTTGTATGCGTACCCCTGACCGATTCACTTGGATTGTAAACCTCACTCCTTGTTTACACCTGCCTGTTCGTTTTCGCGCATGCTCGGGCCCTGGTAACCTAGGCTGATCATTGGCCAATATTTACTTTGGGCGCTTTGTACCCAGACTGTCTTGGATTTCTCCACATATACCTAACAAACGGTCCAGTTTTTCAGTCGGGCTACCCGTGTCTCCTCCGCATATGATGGGGAACACCTACGAAACTGACAAAATCGTCCTCTTCTTCAGAGCCTTTTCCCGGGAGACAAGTAGTGATAAAACTATTCCATAAAACACCAAAATACTTTAAAGAAATATTAGGTTTTTATTCAACCAATTTACCGGTGACCAAACCAAGTGTTATTATGACAACCGAGGGGTAAGAATAGGGAGGTTGGGTGTTACGAGATCAAATGTTTGGTTGGATGTATACGCAGACACCGGAATCTGAGTGATGCCCAGCACGGTATTACATTCAATGTTGAAATAAATAGACGTTGTTTGACCGAATGTCACTTGCCAGTAAACTGGGAATTCGCAATTACTAGTGGAGTAGTTTGGTTTCTTCGAGCATTCGACATGGCTCTTCCGGTCGTTCAGCACAAAGGGGTTCCCCAGTAAATGCCTTAGAACTTTTCACAGTCGGTCTGCACTTTAAACCCCATATCCCATAGGCAAACAAGATTAGCTTCTTTGCAATGCATTACTCATAAGGTTGCTGCAAACCCGTCGACCTTATGAACAGTGCATCAAAAAGATATACATGTATCGCGATCTCGAATATCGTAGCGACTGAAACATGAGGAGGCCTGATGCAAATAATCATCACTTGTGAAGCAGAAAGTGGTTCTCACTGAAAATTAGCCTGGTGGAAGCTTCGTGCTAAGGTGGGCTCGCCTTGCCGATGTATTGGGCCCAGTGACATTGGTTTTCAACGTTTTCCGCACTTGCACGCGCGGTGAATATGAATCGAATTATGATCGCGTTCCCTACTAGAATGGTTGAAAAATTAGGAGTAACAATTAACTGCTCACAAGTGTGCAAATTTTCTGACTACGTAAGCGCACGACCTAACCCGTGTGATCATCGGAATTCACGCCGTTGTATGCGTACCCCTGACCGATTCACTTGGATTGTAAACCTCACTCCTTGTTTACACCTGCCTGTTCGTTTTCGCGCATGCTCGGGCCCTGGTAACCTAGGCTGATCATTGGCCAATATTTACTTTGGGCGCTTTGTACCCAGACTGTCTTGGATTTCTCCACATATACCTAACAAACGGTCCAGTTTTTCAGTCGGGCTACCCGTGTCTCCTCCGCATATGATGGGGAACACCTACGAAACTGACAAAATCGTCCTCTTCTTCAGAGCCTTTTCCCGGGAGACAAGTAGTGATAAAACTATTCCATAAAACACCAAAATACTTTAAAGAAATATTAGGTTTTTATTCAACCAATTTACCGGTGACCAAACCAAGTGTTATTATGACAACCGAGGGGTAAGAATAGGGAGGTTGGGTGTTACGAGATCAAATGTTTGGTTGGATGTATACGCAGACACCGGAATCTGAGTGATGCCCAGCACGGTATTACATTCAATGTTGAAATAAATAGACGTTGTTTGACCGAATGTCACTTGCCAGTAAACTGGGAATTCGCAATTACTAGTGGAGTAGCTTGGTTTCTCCGAGCATTCGACATGGCTCTTCCGGTCGTTCAGCACAAAGGGGTTCCCCAGTAAATGCCTTAGAACTTTTCACAGTCGGTCTGCACTTTAAACCCCATATCCCATAGGCAAACAAGATTAGCTTCTTTGCAATGCATTACTCATAAGGTTGCTGCAAACCCGTCGACCTTATGAACAGTGCATCAAAAAGATATACATGTATCGCGATCTCGAATATCGTAGCGACTGAAACATGAGGAGGCCTGATGCAGCACATTCAGTTGCCTGAAAACATCACAAATAAAAGATTCAGCTGGGTTGCAGGCGAGTCTCTCGAAAAACCAAATTACTTTACAAATGAGTGTATATTTGCTAAAATTAGCTTCTCTTCAGGATCTCCGTCTGCCTTAGGGGAAGCAATGTGGCTCTGATTTCGACGGAAAACCCAAACTGATGAGCTGTGGTTCCCATTCAAATCGCCTCATTCAGTTTCGGTTTTGATGAGTGGTAAGATGATCGAGCAATACTTACGAGGTCCCCGAAGGCACTTTGGTTACACCGTGCCAGGTACCCCCAGTTATGGTTATTCAAGTAGGCGTATTGAAAATGAATACTTTGATATCCTGGATATCGTTCCAAACGACGTATGAAATATCCTTTGTGCAGCAACTCCAGCTGAAAGCCAACGTAAAAGAGATTCATTTGAAATGCACTTGAACCTCCTCCTTAGAGACGAGTTCCTTTTTGATTGAGTGCATAAACCCGGTCAGAATAATGCCGTTTCATAAACATCTTTGCAGACTCAAATGCCCAACAATGTACCCAAATGGTCGTCTTTGCAGGTCGCATTATTCTGGTCACAAGAAGTCTAGCTTTGAAAGTCCCAGTCATTTCTTGTGGCAGTGTAAATTTGCATCTAAATTGTTCGTCTTCTGGAGAACACCCCTCACTGAGAATAGCTCGACCAGTTTCTCCTATCATGATTAATCGGTTGCAAATTTTGAAATGGAATTGTACATTGGGGCGTAACAAACTGTTCACAGTGCTGCTGAAATTCCTTCGACAGCCCACGACCGGTTTTGCCCTTCTTGGGGCTCATCAGGTAGGCGCAGTTTCCCGAATTCATCGCAACCTAATGTTTTACTTGAGCTCAACTCGCACGAAATGAGCGAACTACACTCATTTGCCCACTAGGTTGGTCTTCATGGGAGGCACTCCGGAAACCCATCTGAATCCACTATTTATGGCGCTCTTTAACTGAATGTGACACCGCAGCATGTCCAAGGTCATTCCACTGGGCATACGACCTGCGTCACTTTACATCTGAGTATAGTACGGTTCACGCGCTCTATGGGGTGTAACATTGTGGGGTATAGTGTGTCTTTAGGGCTGTGGCTTTTTCGGAACGGTATGAGTTTGCTCTATGAAGTGAGCACTGTCCGTTTGGTATAGTCACTGCGTTATTAAGCTTCCCTCTAGTAGTTCGGAATCGTCGTACCGGACCATCAGTTCCGACTTGTTTATTGTTGGAACCCATGTAAATTGGTTTGAACGGGAACAAGGGAACGACCTTCGGTTTAATCACCCGTCATCCATCAACCCAACTTCCAGCAAGAATGAAGATATTAAAGCCTCGAATTGGAGAATCAAATTTATTCATAGATAAAAATAACGTGTCTATCTTCGGTACAACGATGTGATATAAACGAGAAATCATGGTTACATACTTCAGGATGCAAAATTGTTTTTTGATTTGTTTGTAAATCTATCCTTGCGGTCGTCATCCAAAAGATCCTACCTGAAAGGCTTCTGTCATTGAAGTTCGATCGATACCTGATCCTCAGTCTGTAGATGAGCAGGACGGTAAAGAAAAACTGAAAGGGAGTTTGTGGCCGCAGATGTTCTCTACTGATGTAAACTACCTATAGCATGAAGACACGCCGTGTGTGCTTAGCCAACTCCGGTAGAGTGGGATACACTGAATGAATGCGTGCGCAATTTTAGCACACACAGATGCTGTCTTGAATCAGTCTTCTTTGGCCAGTAAACTATTGCCAATCTCTAAATTAAGACTTCCACATGGTCGATCATATAAACGGCAATCTAGCTGCTTCTATTTGGTTGGCGCATTTAAATCAAAAAACGGTCGTTTAAAACAACAGATTCACCAGATAAGTACATCTTCCTCTTCAATAGCGTTGAGTAGTTCGACACGACAAAATGATGCGCTACTGTCACAAGGACTATCGGTAGCTTCTCGCCTAAAAACACATTTGAACTGTACAAGCATCTAAGCGTGGAGCTCAGTACTCGCACAATGGATTTAAATTTTCGAAAGGTATGACGTGTCCCTGGTGGACTAAACCAATCTGGCAACTGAGTTCACATTACCAATCCAAACTTTTGCGTCCCATTTAAGCATCTCAGCGATGCTGGGAAATTATTCCACCAGACTTTTCTTCTAGATGTATGACTGTTTCAGTGAGCAATGAAATTTGGTGAGCTGCAAGAATATGAATGTCTATTAGGATGGTTTTTGGTTTTAGCCCGTAGTAACAAAATGCAACGTTTTGGCACGAAAAGTTTCACTTCACTCCTAAAGGTTTTGCGCTGAGAGCATTGTGCGGCTAATGGGCCCCTTCAAGGATGGAGTGAGACAGTGCTTATATCATCGTTACCGGCAAAAGTCACGTCCGCGGAGAGTATACCAGGAAACGTTACTTTCATTAGTACTAAAACAGCATTTTCGAAGTGCTTACAAACGTTCTGCATGCCTCTGGCTGTGCCAAATAATGTTGCAGGAAAAGATACCCATTATGGAGCGTCGATATTGGAGAATCGAAAAGAAAGTTTCTCTCCAACCAGCATTATGGGACCATACTTTAGAAAGACAAGCTAGGAGTTGTCCTCTTGTTCGGTTGGCTACTTGACAAGGGTGAAAAATTCAGTCAGGGTGATCTGAGGATGCGAATCGAACATGGGCAGATGCTGCTCACCGAGACAACTTTCTGATCACGCCATTGTGGTGCAAACGGAACGGATATGCGTCGATAGAACACCCGAGCCTGCCAGGCCAGCAGCTGCGATGGAACCGGGGATTTGCTGTTGAATCCTGGACCACATGATTCATCGAACGAATAGAAAAACACATCCGAATAGTAAATATTGACTATTCAACGGCAAATGATTTTATTTGACAGTCTAGAACAGTGACAGAAACTGAAACATGAATGTGATCATTTTTAAGATGTGAGAGCTGGACACGGACACTGCCAAGAAGTGGCACCTGATAGGGTTAATGGGAAATGCCAAACGTTCTGGGCTAATTGACTTTTGTAGTTGAGGTGAGATTAACATCATTTGCGCGAGAATATAATCAGAAAAAGCTTATATTCTACGTTGGAAACCGAAAAGTGGTCCAATCGAATTTTATTATACGCAGCACATGTTTAGGAGGAAAAAACTTCAGATTCGTCGAACAACCAAAGGAATAGATAAGTTTTAGGCCGGTTTTCTATCGCAACATGATCGCCACACATACGCGAATGTACATTAACCCACCTTGACATGGCTTAGCATACAAAAGAGAACTAACTGATGGCTGCAGGTGAACTGTCAGTAGAAGTGGCCACCCATTGTGTTTGACCTGCAGATTACCACCACAGATTCTGCTACGTAAAACATCGCGAGCGAAATTCCGTTGTGGAATCCAAATTTTCCGCATCATTTCCCGTACTCACAATAAGACTGACACTAATAATTGTAATACTAATTCACCGATAGCAAAACAACAGACTGTCACACGTCTGTGGAGAAAAACACTCTAGTGCAGAGTGGGAGGAAGGGGAAAGGTGCGGATTTGTTACAAACAGTTCGATATTTCTAAGAAGAACAGTCGGGAACAACAACATCAACCAAAAGGACTCAACTGAGGAAGAGGCTATCATTGAACCTGGTCCGATTTACATGAAGCCACTGGTGAGGTTTCGGATACGAAACTTCGGGTCACACGTAGGTTTGGTTAGCGCAGGCATCAAAAGTAAGGATTGGGTTCAAAAGTAGATAATAAAAGATGAAAAGATAATTGTTATGCCCTTTCGGTGCCTAGCTGCCATGCCACTAGAAGGAAGCATGCGGGCTGGGACGCGGCCAGGTTGGGGAAGGCGAGAGGCAGAGGTCGGGTTCGAACCACGGACCTTCCTCAGGTCAGCAAATCCGCGCTCTAACCACTGAACCCTGTCATTCCAAAGTCTGCAGTACCACATACACAATAGGGAGCAAAATTACCCAACAAGTCTCAGCTGTCCACATTCGTCCGTCATTCCGCCATTCGCTGGCACAGTGCAGTATCAGTGTCCACACACCGGAAAACACCGAGTGGATTGTTTACTCAGTAATGTGGATTGCCGTGCGATCACATGGAAACCACGAGAGGACACTTAAAGGAAGGCTCAGTAAACAGGGTACAAACACGTAGGTCAGCTAGACACATTCATGCTACTATGTGAGTGTCAAACGGGGCGGTCTTTGTGGCAAAGTGCATGGCAGTTGCATATGAGAAAAACGAGTGGAGACCAAAAGTACACGGGTGGATTGAGGAAATAAATCATGATTCAAACAGCCACTAACCCCCCAATTGACAAAAGGGGATCGATACGTGGGGATAGGAATAGGAAAAATACCCTACAATTTCGTCGCAATCAGCACTAATTTCGAACATCGGAACTTACGAAATATCGCACTGAAGACAAGGCCAAAGACGAGCGCCACAAAAAGGCATACTGGTGTGTAGTACAGGTAGGATATTGAGTAGACAGTTCGGGTTGCCGCTACAACGTTTGCCGCAGTTGTCACATTCATCGAGCAGTTGGCTGTTGAGAGAGGCAGCGAAGGCACCGGGGTTGGATAAACAATGGCACCTATACTAAGCCACAGTCCAACTGCGAGGCTCGCTAGAAGCGCAGCTATCCCACCCTGGAACAAAAAACAGAGGAGAGACCAGTAGCATAAGAACCATGAGACCTGATGCGATTTCAAATGCCTGCTCAGAATAGTGATGTAGGGCTTGGTTAGAAACCAACGCACGATAGATTAGTCTTAGAACGATGGCCGCAGTGTGACGATATTGCTCGCACGAACCCAGCTTATTGCGAAGACTCGCATTTTGTTTGGCTACTCATAAGTAGGCAAAAAAACCGAGTTTTTTGGTGCCTGTATGTTTACTTCAACCGTCGGTCTCGCAAGATCGGTAGATAACTGGGAAAATCAGAAGAGTTGTCGGTTTGTAGGTCACAACGACGTCACGGAAGTGCAAATACGTCACTCTGTTCTGGTGAAAGACGCGGTGTTGACTGAATCTGAGCCGTTGATGTGACTAAAAATGGCTACGGGCAAGGCGTTGTCTTCCTCTGGCTGAATTATTGTGCTCTGATTCAGAGGAATGAAAGCCCCTCAGATTATTGGCCTAATTCTTCTAACATATGAATCACATACTTTCAATATTCACCCCATTTAGTAAATTTCATGTTGTCCGATTACCAGAAAATCTGGTCTGTTGATAGCAGATGAGGTGAGAGCGAGCAGCGCAAGAGAAGCACTGGTCGAAGTTTATCAGTGAAATTTTACACAGGTGAACATGATGTGGTATTCTGCAGATGACCATGAGTTCTCCTGTCTACGGTGGTCTCAGAAACGCAAAAGTTGTATGTGTGTGTAGCCCAAACTTATGTATAGACCCAATAATGATGAGGATAAAATACCAATACTAATAATAGTAATAATAAATAATAATGTTAATAAGCGTCCAGCTATAGCACCCATTTGTTGCCTAGCTGCCATGACACCCGAGCGAATCAAGAGGACTGGGGTACTGGAAGGGTGTCTAAGCCCAAACAGAAAGAAAACTGACTCAGCCTCTCTTGCGAACTTCACTCAGCAGGAGTCCAGCATAAAACAGCAGACCATCTAGGTAGTTCAACTAGGAGGTGACATCATATTCACAGATCGGATCGGTTACAAGGCAGGCACTGTTGGGCTTCCAACGGAGTGCAAAAGAGAACCATGTGAAACGCAGGCAGAAACGCGCGGTAATCCAAAAGCACTCTGTTTGAATGTAGGTACGTTCATTTTGCGTTGTCAAGTTACGGCCTGATCAAGATAGTCCTGAAACCTCGCAAAAAGTACCGGGTTTTGAATGTCGCATGAGAGTATAATAGGTAGGCACAAAATTCATCTGTTGTTGGGTCAGGATTGGACAATCGAGTGTCATTTCTCGAATCGGTTTTCCTTCTTTTATAGCGCTCGGAAGTTTGAGTGCTACTGCACGCGAAACTGAGACTTTACCTTGCATTTCAAATCGCCAGAAGGCCGTCGTGTTAACAATCAGTAGAATATTGTAGTAAAATCTGTCTGTGAGTAATGCTTATGGAAAAAATTGACCCAGAAAAAGAAGACACCGAGGAAGGCGGGAATAACGGATAGTATGAACATACGTATTTGTTGATACATGGCACGAGGATACCCAGTGTGAAGATCGATAGGATAGGACCACCGATAGCCCCGAACAGACTGAAGGCGAACGGCAAAACATGTGAGCTCATCACTTCGAACAGGAAGGCCAGTCCAACTGTGGACAGACCTACAAGAGCAGCTGAATAGTTCAAATAAGGAGGTGAAATGAGAGTGGGATTAGTTCTCGTCAGAACCCTTCGAAAATTACATCAAGTTCAACATGTCACCTGACACTGATTACAGGGGTGATGAAAAATCCGGACTGCTCCCTACCGGTTTCATCCTTCTCGAGGCTCATCAGTACAGACTCATAAGTGCAGACTCCGATCTCCCAAGAATATCAGTTCATCGTCAGACGGTAAGTTGTGGACAACACCTATGTGCAAAGTAGCCTTGTTCTATTGGGAGACCCAGCTGAAATCTAGTTGACTCCATGTCCACATCAGGCTTATTTGAACATTCCTTTGCTCGTCCGGGCAGAACTATTCTTGTGAGTCCACACCGAAGACGGGGGGAACCACTGAGCTCAGTTTCGCCCTAATTAGACCCCATTAGCACTGCATACCCTTTGCCAGGAACGGGGCTTGAACTCCGGACATCTGATATGCGAGGCGAGAGTGTTAACACTAATCCGGCAACGCACACTTAAAAGGTAAACGAGCTCACTATTGAGGCGCTGGACAAACCAATCACATCGTTTAGTCGTGGACACCGTCGCCTGTTCAAACGTAATGATTCAGGTACATCCAGCATGCGCTGGTGGAGTGATGGAAACACACTCACCTCACACGTCAGATGTTCGGAGTTCAACTGATGACACGACCAAGGATGTGCATTGCTGATTAGCTCTAAGGAGGATGAAACTGGATCTCCGTGGTTCAGTCATTTGGTGTGGACTCGGTAGCAAAATCGCTCCAGGACAGAAGAGATTAAGGAGAGATCCTGAGACATTCCGAACCGATTTACAGTTAAACAAACAAATCACTCTATTTTCGAAAAAGGTTTGGTGACACTCGGTAGATTTATTTCTGGGCAACATTTCGCTTTTGACACAAAAGCTTCGTCAGGCCAAGTGACTAGGTTCCGAGGTTGGCCGAGATTTAAGGCGGTAGGAGAACCAATAAGCTAAGTCAAGCTAAATCTCTGTTGGGTGTCGGCCGAGGGATTTCAGTGTGTTAGAGTGGTTGAACAAGTGTTGGGTCGATGCGGGAACCCACATGTGTTTGGGTCCAGCCTAGGGTCTAGTGCTTCTGGCTCGGTTCATTTGAAGGTTCCTCTTGAACTTCGTTTGAACTTTCTGTCAGTCTGTGTGGGTGAGCTAGTGCTAAGAAAGTTGCGTGTAAGAGGGATGCTGTGACCTTTGGTCGGTTAGGGTTGAGTCTTTGACCGGCGTTTGGTATTCTTCTGCATTCCTTGGTGGTTTGTTAATCCTTCTTTTATGCTCACCGATTCTGGTGTGCAATTCCCTGGCAGTTTGTCCTATATAAACCTTAGCGCAATCGTTGCAGTTAATTTTGTACACACAGTCCCTAGTCCTTTCAGCCTGCAGGGGATCTTTCAATTGCACCAAAACTGAGCGTAGCGTTTTTCCCTTCTGAAAAGCTACTCGAATGTTGGCTAAGTTCAACAATCTTCGAATAACCTGATGAGACAATGCTGGCGTACACGGACTTTGGTGTGTTGATGAATAGCCTAAGACAGTTCCTGTGTCTGTTCGTTTCTGGTAGATAGTCGTTTTCAATTTTCCACCAACCCTATGTGTTATACAGTCCAGAGAAGTTAATATGCCCGAGGTGGACTCTATTTCCATGCTAAACTTAATGTGTGGGTTTAAACTATTGGGATAATCGTGGAAGCTGTTCACGTTATCTCGTTTGATTACAACAACGGTGTAGACAACATAACGCCAAAAAACTTTGCGTGCACAATCATATCCAGCCAAGGCTATTTGTTCGAAGTCCTCCATGTAAATATTGGCTGAAACTTGGGATATTGGAGATCCCATTTCAAGGCCTTGTTCTTGTGAGTAAACAGTTGTGTCAAAAACAAACTTATTAAGATTCAAACACACTCTTATGCCCTCAACTATTTCATCCACTGAGAGCTGTGTCCGTTCCCCAAGTGTCTGTCTGCCAGTACCTCCAGTTACCTCCAGAGCATCTGCCCTAGGGATGTTTGTGTACATTGAAATTACGTCAAAACTCACGAGGACTTCGTCCATCTCCAAAGGATAGATATGGAATGCAATTGGTGCAGCGCCTTCCGTGGAGCATATCGTGGACGACAGGTTCTACCTTACTTCAGCTTAGCCTCACATTAATACCGACCGATTTCGCAATCTGTGTTTACCGCTGCACCTGAGTAATTTGGTGTTCCAATACAACCTACAGATAATTGGAAATTGGGTGATTTCGAGTGCTACAAAGGACAAAACCTGTAGTGACCTGTCCACAGTTCCCACCCACCTCATGTCAGTCTGTGTTTGAAAGGCGACGGGTCTTGTACAGCTCTTTCAGTATTGTCGGGAATAATCAGATGTGCGTAGCGCACAGGAGAGCTTGAAAACAGACGGGGCCATCCTCCAACGACAGACATTAGGCGATCTATTGTGAAATGGCATCCACAGTGCTACATTGCCTAATCTTAGGGGAAGTCACACAAATGTCACACGCTGAAGGCGTGTTCTCATCAAGGAGTATTCCCACAACAATCCATTCACTATTGTTTGATGCGCAGGAATGTTGGTTTCCAAAATACCCCAATCAGTCGCCAAACGCAGCAGTGATTTAGTACTCAGTAATGAATGGCGCAATGAAACATTCCGTTTTGAGAAATGTCACACTCGGTAGGCACATTCCACGGCGAGTAAGATAGATTCTATACCGGGTCTCTGACTGCACAACAGCTTTTTACCACAGAATCTTTTCAATGCACAAGTTAATTGCATGATTTTGATCATTTTGAGTCAGACCAATGGTAATACGGATGCAAAGGTGTGAAGAATGTTGTCCACAAGGAGTTGGCTGCACAAAAATCGATATTTGACAATCAGACGACCTTGAAAAGCACATAGCTGGTGAGAATTAAACGTATCCATTTGCTGAATTAATTATCTATCACGCTTCACCTAATCGTCATTGTTACTGACGCTGCTTCACTACGTCTCAAATTATCCAAACTTTGAAAACAAAACGAAAGACTCAGTTGAGTCTCTCGTGAAAGCAAGCTGATTCGCAAATGAGTGTATTTCTAGAAAACAGTCCAATTAGGGTTCAAGGAGAACATAATGTTGACGGAAACTCGGGGGCTGCGCCTATCTGATGAGCCCCAAGAAGGGCGAAACCGGTCGTGGGCTGTCGAAGAGTTTTCAGCAATCTTGTTAGTAGTAGTTTCGTTTATGAAAACCATGAAAACTTTCGAAAAGTGAGTAGGTTACATTCAATCGTGTCAAGTGACTGGTCACCTGCCTCGACAGCGTACAGGTATGCAATAAACAACAGTTGTCAATGGAATACTCAACATGAGCGTTTTTGCATAAAATTTCGGATTCTACCTCACAGAATGCGAGACTAGGAACCCCGCAGTTCTTCACGCAATCGTTTTGACTCCTCGTTTAGGCATGACTCTGTATGAAAAGTTGTATTTGTGTGACATAATGTGAAAGCAAACGATAAGCCGGTTTCTACTGATCCATAGAGTCAGTCGAATGTATCCCAAAAAGACCACGTTCAAACAGACTTCCGTTTCAAAAGTCCAGGTAAGTATTTATTCGTCGCAGTTAATAAGTGATTGATAATTGGTAGCAAGTTTTATTCCCCTTCTTATGGCAGTCATGCACTTGTGTGAGTGAATTTCAGTTGAGGAGGGAGAGAGGGAACGAGACAAAACGCTTCTGATATCAAGAAAGTACCAGAAGGCTCAGAAGGACGGATTCCCTTTCAAGTAGTCCAGACCGTCACGAAGAAAAGACTTAAAATTGTCGGGTGGGCGGGTGTCAATACGAAATCCGCACTCTCGTCTCTCATAGCAGGTTGGTCAACAGTTAGAGCTTCAACCAACACGTGTGTGGTAGCTTGTTTTATAAAAATTGCGATGCACTTGTATCTCCCACCAAACACCACTGCCCTGTGGTCAGGCTTCTGTGTCAAAGACTTCGGTTGAGGACCTTAAACGTCGTCTTGTTCAGGTATGGGGGGCCCTGGGTGCATCCCGGCCCACGTACCACCATGAATACGGCAGGGATTCATCAGTGTTGAACACTGATGCTATGCTCTCGATGGCCATGATAATAAAGTCGACCTGTCCGCTGAGCTTGGCAACTGACTTCTAAACGTTTTACCCCCCCCCCCTCCAGATCGTTCATTGATGCTTTCACCTCGCTTGGTGGCCACCTTTGCAAGCTAACTGCCAAGCTCGGCGAGCAAATCAACAGTCACCTGATCAACCAGAGAAGAACATAATTGTTGGACATTTCTAGCAAAACCTTAGATAGCACACGAATCAGATTCGTGAAATGGTGGATATGTTTCTGGTTTCGAGAAAATCAATAAATGAACAATCACGGATTGGAGAAAATGGCAAACAGATTCAGCAGAAGCGACAGGGATACGGAGGGTACCTTTTACATCCCCCCAATCGGAAATTTCATGGTAAATGCAAATGGGAGAAAAACTCACAGAATAATGTGGCCAGGAGCGTTCGTGATTTCGGCTTTACATCCTTGCCGGATATAAAATAGAAAAGAGGTCGGAAGATATCCTCCAAAATCACAGTAGCCAGGCTGTTCACACCGGAAGAAACAGTGCTGTGAAAGAAAGGGGAATCGATTGTGAAACCTATTCGCCCTAAAGGGCAGTGAAGCATCGGTGTTGAACACTGATGTCATGCTGTCACTGATGATGATGATGATGATGACGATGAATGGACTTAATCCACCCGAATACTACTCAAATGGTCGAAGCTAGTTAGCAGTGGATTTCTCTACGGGTTAGCGTGAAACCAATGGGTTAAATGTGAGCTCGATACAGATCTAACCTCCGTTCACTTGTCAGATGCTTTCTGTTCACATAGAGGAAAACAGTGGATTTGCGGCTGGACAGTTTTCTTTATCGTATAACCTGTTCAGGTAGTCCCGATTACTCAGCGAATACGTAGTTATCCACTAACTTTTGTCACATATGTCGGTGATAAACCAATTTTTATTGGATGGATGTGAATTCCAGCGACATGTCTCTTCTGTCTGCCAACCAAGGTGACTGTCGCGCTAAGATGCTCCGTTTGTTTAACGATGAATGGTTACCGTAAAGCCTCGGTGTAGTGATGTAGTTGGCTTTCAAATGACTCTGAGTTGAAGTCACAGAGGCCGGATGTCCACTTAGACAGTATTAGATTTGGTGCGTGCGCGGAGAATTCCACAAAACCTTTACAAGGAAGTATCGACGGCGGTTTTGTCGGCTGTGACAGTGGCCTAACTGTAGGCCATGCCTAGATGTTCGGCAGTTAGAGCAATCGGTATCCAGCACAGTTCTAACCGTAGTTTTTACACACGTTGCGGAGTAGAGTTGATGAACTTGGGCGTTCGTTGTGCCCGAGGTAATACGTTTGTGGCTCGCATCTGCGCTTGATGAAATGAGGCATGATCCCTCAGGTGAAAAATACTTGCAACCGCTTGAGTAGTCATCGTTTTCGAAAAGGTTTGGTGACAATCGTTAGATTTATTGCTGGGCAACGCTTAGCTTTTGACACACGGCTGAAAGGACTAGGGACTGCGTGCACAAAACGAACTGCAACGATTGCACTAAAGTTTGTACAGGACAAACTGCCAGCACACCAGAACTGGTGAGCATAAAAGAAGGATAAACAAACCACCAAGAAATGTAGAAGAATACCAAACGCTGGTCAAAGACTCAACGATGGCGGCACATGCCTTGTACATGGGACATAGAATAGATCTGGAGAATGTGAGAATTTTAAGACGGGGAGTGCGATTCACACCACAGAGGTTGAGAGCCGAGGCGGTGGAAATTGAGGGTGTAGAACTGGCGAGCGTATGGAAAGCGGTCTTAGATAAGCCGAGTTGACACGTGACTGTGTGGTTGTCAATCCACTTAGGATCATTAGCAAAAACGGTGGGGTGGGGGTGGAAATCCCAACCCGACCAAAAGTCACAGCATCCCTCTTACACAACTGTCTTAAAACTAGCTCACCCACACAGACGGACAGGAGGTTCAAACGACGTTCAAGAGGGGTCATCAAATGACCGAACCGGAAGAACTAGACCCTAGACTGGACCAAAACACATGTGGGTTCCCCCATCGACCCAACACTTTTTGACCCACCCTAACACAAAAATCCCTCGGCCGACACCCAACAGATATTTAGCTTGGCTTAGCAGGTTGGTTCCACTTTCGCCTTGAACCTCGACCAACCTCGGAACCTAGCCACTTGACCTGACCAAGCTTTTGTGTCAAAAGCGAAACGTCGCCCAGCAATAAATCTGCCGATGGTCACCAAACTTTTTCGAAAACAAAAAATGATCCCGTTGAGTCAAGCTCCCAACGGTTAGACACCGTCCCTGAATATGTACAGAAATGGCCCTCCAAAAGGCTCTCTCTCTGTAATTGCCTTGAAATACTGGCAGGTTTTGTATCATACAGCATGACTGAGCGGAGAGAGAGTAGTTTGACGTTAATTGGCAGTTGTGCTGTTGCATGGCGGATTCGACCTCGAGGCTGCCTGGATCTCCACAGGACTGCATCGTCCAGCAGCGTCGGAAAACATTGTAGAAGATGATATCATCAATGAATAACAGGTGGCATAAATCTGGGTCTTGAATTTCGCTCAATGCGGCTCGGCGAGCATCGGAAGTGGTTCTCCTCGCACACACAGTAATCGTCGGGCTGTAGCACCCTTTCGGTGCCTAGCTGCCGTGCCACCAGAAGGATGCACGAGGGCTGGGATACTGCCAGGTTGCCCAGGCCTAGACAGCGGACACCGAGAGGCAGAAGTCGGGTTCGAATCACGGACTTTCCGGTCAGTGGGCTCGTGCTCTAACCACTTGGTCCATCTCGCGCTCGCACCCACAGCTATTGCTGGATCATCAAAGGGGTTGCGGGATCAATTCAGCAGCTGGGGTTTTGTTGCACTTCGTCAAGGGCCTTCTAGTCGTATAGCCATCTGATGTTCATCTCAATCCCTGTATCCAGATCAGCTTTAACTAGGGCATTTTGGCTGCACGTGAACCCATGTTACTCTACCCTGGTTCCCATAAACCAACCATATATGTATCAACAGAAATCTGGGTTGGGTTTTCGGTACCTAAACCCACCTTGGTCAGGCCGAAAACTTTGAAATTATCAGGTCATCCATAAGGATCGATGGCTTATAAAAAAAAGGCATCTGACTATTCCAAGATTAACTTCAACTGTGGGGAAAAATTTCCAAATATTCTCATACTATCAACAAACTGTCAGTAGTTCAATAGTAGCGTGAATCTTTGATCTGAGTAGTTGTCTTTTGAACAGCGAATCACACACTTTGCAACGTGATGTGAAGGAAAAATGAGCTGCCCTATAGCCCAACTCAGGGTGAGATCAGCGGTGAACCAACTGTTCGTAGCCCAACGGTCTAGTCTCCATATCCTAATCGGGAGATCACGGGTTCGAATTTCGATGTCACAGTAGTTTGATGATTATGTGAAATGACCAACTACTGTTCAGACCGAAAATTCTTACTTGAACAGCGAGAATACTCAGGTATGGCGCCCCAGAAATACGGATGGTTGACCGCATCTCATCGGGTGTGGGCTACAGAACAAACGATACAGAAGTATCATTGGGATATCGAAAGGAAGTCAGCCGCCAAGGGGGCGCCAACGATAAGGCTAGTTCCTTATATCCACGCCGATTCGGTTGCCATCTTCTTTGGATAACCAGAGAATCACTGAAAGGAGGAACTTTACCGTCTGTGGTTCCGTAAACGACGTAAAACGCAGCTGCCAGATCGACACTAAATAAAGGACAACTGACTCCATTTTTACACCGATTTGTCCAAGAGTTTTCAGAAGCCTCATGCTCAGTGTGTCACGTGCGGACATAAATGAAACCGCTATCGATCATGCGCTTGCCTCTCGATTCGAATTTGTTTTTGGACGGCTGCGTGAAGCTTTTTTTCCTGGGTGAAAGTGAACCTCAAAGAAACAAGGTGTTAAAATCTCCCCCATTTGACTTGTGACCTATAACAAGTGTATCAGTCAACGGACGCGCCTGTCAGCTTTGCCATACCTGATCGGTCTGTGTATAAATTTCCAAGAGATTGAGAAGGAAGGCTCAGGTAGTACATAAGGTTGACGGAAACTCGAGGACTACGCCCGCGTGATGAGCCCCAAGAAGGGCGAAACCGGTTGTGGGCTGTCGACGAATTCTCAGCTCACATGCGAGCAGTTTCCTTTAGGAAAGGAAGACTCAAATGTTGCGTGGAAAGCGACCAACTATGACGCAATTCGGCAAGCCTACTAATAACAATACTAATTGAAGATTAGGTCTGGCAAGTAGTGCATGTGCCCCTCACAGCTCAGCGAAGCTTCAGATACAACGACGTGCGTTGGCTACCAATGATTTCATCTTGAATGTTGATGGAACGTTAGTATCCAAGCTGTCTAGTTGAGCAAAAACCAACTGCCAATCATGCTAAGCTGAGATTCCCTCACGTTTGAACAAGCACTTCTTTTGATCTACTGCTAGCCGTACGGATAACCTTGACCAATTAATCACCAAACTGTGGAGTTGAACTTCCAAGTATGTCGGCATATTTCACGTCGCCGGGAATTCCTATTGGAAGTGACAATGTTCTCGAAAATTCGGTCTTTTCTGCATTAAGTTTCACTCGTGAGTCATCATTATCGGAGAGGTGACATCTGGTTTGTCTTTATTAGGGGTAATCAGCACTGCGTTTGCTTGGCTTGAATTCCCTTGAACAATTAGTTCTTTATGAGAAAGACTCCAAATGTCTAACCCACTGTAGAAACACATTAGAGTCCCCTGCGTTCTGAGACGCATGTAGACTCTGAAAGATTTTCCACGAGGTGAACCACAAATTCTCCTCTCATTCCTAAGATTATCGATCCAGAATAAACGGAAGCGTTTCCCTGACCAACGAGTGAGGCTGAGTTTTTGGTTTTTGAATCCTCAGGAGATAGATACTACTTAAAACGCGCCACAACGAAACGTGTGATCCCAGCCTTCTCAAGGAAGCTCCCTCAAAGAATGTCTGAATGTCATGGAATCATCAAACATTCCAGTCGGCACAATGATGACAAGGTGGTTTAAGACAGATTTATCAACACAAAGGGGTTTTAAATCGTATTTGAGTGTTTAATGATGAGTGCTGGAATGTTTGTGGGCTGTTTCCAAGCGAAATGTACTTTAGAACCCCAGAAATGTGCTCAAGAAATCCCAGTTATTCCCATCTATGTGACAAGTGACTCACATCATTATGAAACGGAATGTGTATTCACTTGGCGGAATACACTCAGTTGCGAAAAAATCTGCTTTTGTGAGAGACTCACCTACAGCCCAAATGAACCTCTCGTTTATGATGTTTCCAGAGGCAACTGAATGTGCTGCACCAGGCAACTTCATGTTTCACCCGCTACGATATTCGAGATATCGTGGTACATGTATAGACATAATACACTACTCATAATGTTGCTGAAAATTCTTCGAAAATCTAGACCAGTTTTGTCCTTCTACGGGCTCATCATAAACCATATATCGTCTTTGTTCAGTGAAAAGCGTTCCAAATGTATCAAGAGAGCCACACTTTCGAAATTCTACCCACTATTGCATAGCAGAAGCAGAAAAGTGGCGATGTGTCGTTTCCCAGTGACTTACCTTAGGGCTGCAGCAAATATAATGGACAGGAAGAGGCCACGTATCACAGGAATTCCATCAAACAGAACCATGACCAAGTAGGGCAACAACTGATCCGCTTTCTTCACCAGTTTCGCACCGATCGGGTCACAGTCGATAAAGTAGGCATAGGCTACCAGGCCAGCGGCGAGTTGGACCACCAGGAATATCGAATTCATTGGTATGTTCAGAAGGATTGCTCTGCAGGAGGAAGGAGGGAGCACCAGCCAACTCGAGAGAGCATCAGCATACCACACAGATATGAACATAATCGCTTATCCGTACGGGTACATAACCTGAGGTCGACAGAGCTTAGTGGTTAAACAGTGAACCTGCTGACCGAAAGGTCCGTGGTTCGAACCCAACCCCAGGGTTACTGAATTGCTCCAGTTCTCCAGCTGCTACAAGCTCCCACACTCTGGGAGACGCCATAAAGTCGTATACAATTGAATAGACAAACACTGCTCCAGATTCCGGAGTTCCGATTGTACTCATTTCTCTGGTCTCATCATGTGTGACAGAAGCATGGTGAGAATCCTAGGTTAAGCGAGCGACAGTGACTTATGAGCGCCTGTGTTTGAGTCACGTCGATCTCGGACCTTTTGATCGACATCCCATGTGACTGTCCTCTTGGTGTCCAGTTGCTTACTGGAGCTACAATGGAAGTTGGGTGCTGACGCTCGAAGAGAAGTACACAGCGTGTCAGACGGTTGCGTGTATATTTTTTGGTCAGGATTGACCCACAGAGGGGGAGTGTTGTGTCTTTTTGAACGGTCGGGCAACTCTGTCAGTCCTTGGCTTCCCGCTCCGCCCACTATGGTACATCAGACAGCCCTTTATGGAGACAAAGGAAGATTATTACAACTGCATTTGTAGAGTAATCACAGAAAGTTCCAGGAGGTGGTACTAGAATCTCCGTGGGGAGGCGAGAAGTGTCGAGCTGCAGATTGGCTGGCATTCTGACCAATCAGGGCATGCCTTCGTTTGGTCCGTAGCCCGCACGTGACACATTCTTCCAATTGATGTGATGTTGGGTTATTAAGAACAAGGAAGGAACGTTTCTTACCACCTACGTTGTGCTTAGGAATACGCCCCTACTATTGGAACTCTGAAGAAGCTTATCATAATTTTCAAATTTATTCTTTCCGTATTCGAGCCTCAGCTGTGCTAAACCCGCCGTTCATCTCACGTAGGATTGCACACAACTTGGGTGCAAAATGAATGCACAAAAGGTTTCTATTCTGAGCAACTAACGCAGTTCAATTGCGTTTTTGAATACTTACTAACTAGACTACTACATATGACATCTAAGAGCAGACATGCTTCACAGTAGAAGGAAATAAATAAACCGCTTAGTCTCATCCACCTGTTGGTGCCCACCAAATGACTTATTCGCTTCCGCCAACCCACTACTGACAGACAAATCGACAAACTCTCCATGTAGTGACTCAATTTAAACAAAATGCTTATGCGGTTGTCCTCAGCTTTCTCCGGAGGTGCTTATACATACGGATTTGGAAAGATTGGGGGAGATCCCTATAGATTATACTGAATATACAGTTGTACCATTCTTCTGGTCCTTGTTGGTAGACCAAAGAAACCCCACGTGAGTTCTTCAAAAGGACTCCATCTTGCGACCTCCTGCATTAGATATGATAGCCCTACTGATAAAGCCATCGCAGACGTTACACCACGATGCGCATTTGAGTTGGAGTTCAAATTGATTTGGCACTCATCCCGTGAGCGGCAGGTCGCGGGTTCGAGTCCCGTCCAAAGACTCTTTTTTGACTAGGAGCTATTACATCAACACATTGTATGAGCACTCTATCCGACTTCGTCTAATCCCTCTGTGATGAAGCAGCGGTCCTGCAGGTCGAACTCAGTCTTTTGGGGTTCAGACCCTCCGGGGGCGTGACGGACCATCCCAACGTCGCCTAATCCCCCTGTGATGGTGCAGCGGTCCTGCGGGTCAAACCCAGTCTTTTAAGGTTCAAATCCTCCGGGGGCGAGATAGCTCAGTGGTTATAGGGCGAGTTTACTGACCGGAAGGTCCGTGGTTCGAACCCGACCTACACTACTGGACTTCTCCTGTCTACGCTTCAGGTGGCACGGCAGCTGGGCACCGAAAGGGTGTTATGGCTGAACGATTATCTGTATTTATTTAGCTTTTTATCAAACCCTCCGGAGTGCAGCCTGAAGAACAGCAGAGCTCTAATGACGCCATCAGGTTCGTAAACCCCAATGTTTTCAGCAACCAGTGGTCGATCATGACCGAAAGCGCATTAACCAGAACACTTTGGACTCCAGATTTCGGTGCTGTCCAATGTGATGTTCAGTCGCTTCAGGGGATCAAACCAATATGTCCTAGTCCCGATGCGTCTCGGTTTGGTTCAGTTCAAATCTGGTCACAAATTGCGGCCAACGATTGAAGATTGCGATTATGTAACCATTTTGAGTCTAAAAAATTTGGAAGTGCTACGATTCCGGGCGTGAATCCCACCACCAACAAGTGAAGACACTCTTTATGTGACAAGGAACCCGGAAATTGGGGGCGGTCCCGGACAATTTGGAGACAGAAAGGTCTAGAACCTTAACTTCTGCTGTTCAGAAAAATCAAAAACTCTAGTGGAAGGAATTACTTGCATTTGTGGACGGATCGGGCAGTCACTTCGTACGGTCTTTTTTTAAGTGTGCACTTCCTTTTTCCTACGGAATGGTAAGACTGATGGATATCACATTTTTAGTTTAGCACGCTACGCGACACTAAACATCTTGTACCACTGTGGCAGAAGCAAGTTTTGACTTATTCGTAATGCACTGCGCCTACCTGATGAGCCCTAAGAAGGACGAAACCGGTTGTGGGCTGTCGAAGGATTCTCAGCAACCTTATGAGTAGTGCATTACAAAAATATATATGTATCCCGATATCTCGAATATCATAGTGACTGAAACATGAAGCGGCCTGGTGCAGCACATTCAGTTACCTGGAAACTTCCCAAACGAGAGATTCAGCTGGGTTCCGGGTGAGTCTCTCGCAAAACCAAATTAGTTTGCAAAAGGAACGTATTCGCTTAAATTGACTGAGTGAACCGATAGACTGAACTCTGGAATGATTTAAACTGCTAGTAGACTCAGAGTTACTAGTTATGCAGAAAGATTTATATCCACCTGAAAGTTCTATCCTTCACGAGTATTGCGAAAAGCAAGTCTGCTCGAGTTCACCCTTTAAAGATGATCTGTTGGCAGAGTTAATCGTCGCCTATTTCATTCCCAAAGATGCACCTTTGCAGCTGCAACTTTATGTTTACAAAGTATTATACAATCTACTCGAGCGTCACAGTCAAGATATCAGTTCTCTTCCAACAGAATGTGTTTGTTTCGTCCTCCCCTTGCTGTGGACTAGATGGGGCCCACAAAATAGCAAACTGGGAAGAGAATACGTGAATATTTGTTGCCGTAACACGATTGAACTCAAGGCTTGGTCAAATGCTACATTTTGGCACACATAGTTGACATCACTCACGAGATCAGTTCAAGCGATGTTTTCACGTCATCTGTAAAGCACTTCATACATCGCGAGTATCGATCTAACGGCGCCTGACTTGACTGCACCTGAGACAGTCGCAATACGATAATGAAAACTTGTACTAGGCTGTCAAAAAACCGTCCGCGCTAACTATAGGTCTGTCTTCTAATTGTCGTGCAATTTGCTTTCAAGTGGAACATAAGGTTGACGGAAACTCGGGGACTGTGTCTACCTGATGAGCCTCGAGAAGGGCAAAACCGGTCGTGGGTTATCGAAGAGTTTCCAGCGACCTTGTGGGTAGTTCCATTTATGAACGTTATGAGTAGTTTCCTACGTTTAGGGATGGCAGGGTGCGCGTGGGAATAGGTGGGTGAATGAATGTGTGAAAGTGAGTGAATGAATGTTGCTCACCGAGTGAGTGTGTGTGTGTGTGTGTGAGGAGGAGGAACATGGTGCAAACATTTTGAGGTGTCTATATTTCCAAGTGCCCAATCCGACAGTCTGGAAAGCAAACAGCAATCTAAATTTAGTTGTATGACAAAAGCTCACCTTCGGGCAGTTCTCATGTCCTTGCATGATAAGTACCTTTGTATTTGCGTCTGATTACCTCCGTATATGCTGAGCACCATGCCAGCTCCACCGAAAGCCAAGATCCATACGGAATGTCGCCGCAAAGGATCTGGACTGAAGCTGTGGAGGAAAATATTCAAATGGGAACGGGGGTTATGAAAAATCCATCTTTGGAACCGAAGATCTAAATTTAACGAACTCATTGTCTCCACAACAAGTGTGGACCTAAACTATGTGCACAAGATTTGTTCAGGAGGAAAATTCGTCTGCAAACCGTGTCTAGGGTGAGAACTGACCTGAAAGACTGAAGACGCTTTCCCTCCAAAGCGATATTCCAGACAACTTGTGGACCGCCAACTTTAACGATACCCATGATCACGATAAGTAGAAGTCCGAATGTGAGTACAAGCAGCTGTAATACGTCCGTCCAAACGACCGCTCGAATACCTCCCTAAATGAAGTAAAAGGCCCAATATAATAGCAGTAAAGCGCGCGAGTGTGAAATTTAAAAAATTCTATTCGGTCAACAGATGGCGAGTGGAGTAACCTGAATATGTGTGAAACTAGTCACTTGGGGAAAGTTGAATCACCCATTGAGAATAACCGATTGTATAAATCAACACAGCGACCTCCGAGATGGTACGAAATAGGCCTGTATGGATCTATTAGGGCGAACTCGTGAGCGCAGTGGATTGACATGGATAGAAGATGCTCTGTTTGGTTGCACCCCCTTCCCACTTTCCGACCGACCTCGGGGTTCGAACAGCAAGGTATTGAAACTTGGGCGTTTTGTGACCGCACGTGGAATGGCTCTTGAAATGACTTCGGAATGGATTTTAATGTAAAGCAGTGATGATAGTCAAACGAACGGGGAATTTCACTGACTAAAACATACATTCAAAGAATACCAATACAAAAATTTTGATTACAAAGGATGAAATCCTTCCCAACCTCACAGTAAATGCATCGTGGAAGGCAGAGTAGCTTCTTCTTTGAAGTTATGATATTGTGTGTTACTCTAACGGCCTTGTTCGTATGTCTGAGCCTTGAGACATTTTACAACGCAACGCGTTAAGAACGTTGGACAATACACAAAGACCCTTCGCATACGCATGACCGCATGCCTTTATCTTTGAACTGTGGCCTCTAGGATAAAAGTACATATTTTCGTTCACCTTATTTGGGGGACCGTTTCTTTTGGTGTAGCTGGGCTTGTGGTTGAAAATTTATCCCACTTGGAAATGAACATTTTCCCTGTTTAATTTGTCCTTCGTGTACCATCCTGTGTGGTTCAATCTAGCCGTAAGCCTTTCTTCAATTCTCCTCACGATTTACTGTTAATTTCCCATAGAAGCACTGTCTACCTATCTATATTGTTTGCCCACGTCCAATTCAATATATTGTTCACTGTCCAATTGCAACGCAGGTGAAGTTCGTAGAATTCGGTTTCGCCGCAATTATTACTGACCGTCCGTTGGTGAATTAAACTACACGTTACCTGTCAGATAGGACACCTAGATCGTGCGTTTAGGCCAACTAACCAATTCCTTGTTTTGAGATCACGGCCTTAGCACAGGACAGTACAACCATGATCGCGTGGTTGTCAAACGAGGTGGTGCAGTGCCTCGGTGGAGCTGCACTGAGGACGCACTGATGATGTCACGTGTTCACGATTTTGCAACCTCGGTGCCTGATCCCACGAATGAACCAACGACAAACGCTGATGCTCTCAAGTAACCGAGATTGGGTGGTCCGTGGAAATGTATCTGGACGTCTGAGCAACCTGATCAAGTACAGACGCCATACTCTTCTGGTTGGCCAAAAAATCTTCCACTGTTCAACTTATCCCGTCGTCATCTACGTCGGTGACAAACCCCTCAACCGAGTCAAGTTTCTAATGGACGGGCTTTCAAAGGTCTACTTCTACAGGTCGGTTTTGACAGGTAAATTCTGAAGGACGCTGATTATGATGTCAGGTAGTTGGCCCAAGATTGCTGGCCAAATGCAATGTAATGAAACTAGAGAACGGGTTTTGTTACTCTAGGTCCGGTAGGTCTTATCAAGTTTACCTCACGAGTCGTCTATCGGTACTAACCGCTGAGGCACCCACTTTCAAGGACACAAGTGCACGTGCTTGTCTATCGTTTCAGATAGAGAAGCTGGGCGAACTATGCGGGCGGGCGGGCCGAAAAGCTGACTTGCAAGCCTGATGTCAAAAAGTGAAGAGATGAGAGTGTGTAGGGGATTTAAGTAAATTCATTTCATGGAAGCTTCGAATTTGGGTATGACGCGAGGTCATCATAGTACCGTACGCCAATTTGGACGCGAGAGTTTTTTTATAGTAGCAACAAAACACCGTAACATAAGTCAATTTTCGCTTACCAGCGTTGTGTAGAATGTAGCGACTGCTCCGGTGGTCAGGAGCGATATCCACAGAGAAAGGCCACTAACTGAAACGGAGGGATATTGAGAGGGAAAAAGGTAGTACAATAACACAAAAAAGCACAAGAAAAAAGTACGCACAATTATTCGAAGTTGCAACGCGGTCTCAACTGTTTAATAGGTGTAACAAAGTGTGGCACTGGTCTTCAACATTACTCGGGTTGTCGCCGACTACGGTCGTATTGAATTGATAAATTAATTAATTAATTAATTAATTTTTCTGAGAACTCGGTGAGGGTGAGCAATTCTCTGATCGGAAACATCCCTCAAAGAAGTGACTAAACGATCCTCCTTTGCTTCAAACATTTGCAAAACCAGACATTGAATGCATTCCCTTCGTTTCTGTTTTACTGAACTCTGTACCGGAAAGAGCCAGCTACCTTCAAGTTTATGATTATTTTTTTAAGATAAAATCTGCTGACTGGAGTAACATGCAATCACCGGCGGACCGGCCTCCTACTTATTTCTGTAAGTCTGTTGTTTGTTTCGTGCTATCAAGTTGCTCCAGCAGTTACTTGCACTCTACTGGTTTTGAAGGTATGCCACCTGAAGAAGAGGATCAAGCATTGTTGTCATTTTACCTGTTATGCCTTGGAAAATATCGGAGGAGGCAGGGTTGATCTAAAACCGGGTGATTCTTGCTAATCCCGCCTACGCGTATTGATTAATTGGGACGCTGGTACTTAGCAGCCAAGATCCGTTGAGTATAAGGACAGCTGACAATCAATTAGCAGTCCTATTCACTTAGTGCGCTGTAAGGATTGGGGGGTGGAAGATGAAAGAGCGATTCTGAGGGTTATTCAACGGCCAGGAGAAGAGGGATCATGGAACAATGTCTCATTTAAGAAGGGAATATATGCGTAGCAACAAAACACCGTAACATAAGTCAATTTTCGCTTACCAGCGTTGTGTAGAATGTGGCAACTGCTCCGGTGGTCAGGAGCGATATCCACAGAGGAAGGCCACTAACTGAAACGGAGGGATATTGAGAGGGAAAAAGGTAGTACAATAACACAAAAAAGCACAAGAAAAAAGTACGCACAATTATTCGAAGTTGCAACGCGGTCTCAACTGTTTAATAGCTTGTTTTTCATCTGGAACTCTCTCAAAGTTTTGTATGAATCAAATTTAAAACATGCGGTTTGCATAATTCTCTTAATCGAGATCAATGGACTTGAACACTACACAATTTATTCCTAAAGGCCCTGTAGACCATTCAACACGTGTGACCACCTCAACTAAAATCTTAGGATTTACGGGGAGTTGCAGAGACAGCTTGCCGCTCAACCATCCACATTGTTGACTTTTTAACTCCAGTTCACTCTGCTCGGTCTATTTGATTGGCTGGCACACCGAAATTTCTCAGTTTATCAACGAAGATACGAGCGTTAACGTAAATGTAGTTTTGACGATTTCCCCACGGAACACGCAAGTATAAAACCCTGGAATGTTTGGAAAACTAACGAGGAAAATGTAGTGAAACACATGAAACGACGCTATTGGTCAGTTGAGCCAAGGTCATCAGCAGGATGACCTTGACATGCAGGCAGGGAACGAGTGACAGTGGCGGGTGTCAATTGAATATGAAGTCATGGATGGGTTAAACCACGGCAGCTAAAATGTTCGGGAAAAGTGTTTTTGACGGCACCGAAGAGGCTCTGCAGTCAGACAACAGTCGGAATTGGATTGGAGTGATGGTGTTCTGTAATGGACAGAATGATTCAGGCCAGATAAAATGCTGGCCGGCTTGCCGTGCTCATCGCGATTCTGTTGGCGCTAACAAGACTGGACAGCATGTGTCACTCTATTCCACCAAGTTGTCATATCACCCGTTCAACATACTCCGAAGCACGTGACAAGGAGTACAACAGAATGTTCTGGGCGCGGAACGGTATTGCGCACCGAAGGGTAAACGCCATCAAATGGCAAACAAAATTGCGTGATGGCAGAGAAATTTCTGCTTTGTGGGTAAGTGCGTCTTTAGTTCACCGTGGTGTGGTGCGCTATGGCGATAAAATATGCTTATTACGAAATAACAAAGTGTCTAGAAAGCCACTTTTCTTCATCATACTTCCTAACGGATTGCGCCCTCGTTCTGGTGAGTCAAGGGGGGCCGAATTCAGATTTCTGTACTGTGCAGAATCTGAACGAGGATCCGCTTCCTCTATTTCGAATCAAAACACCGTTAAACAAAGTTAGCTCCCCTTACGTATACCAATTCGGACATTCAAGGAGTAGAGGTTCCATCCATTTCTTCTGAAGTGAACATAACGCGCGGATGGGCCAGATCCAACTGTTCCAGGATCGGACTAATTTCATCTGGTAGCCTACCGCTCGGACACATGTCGGGTTCGTCTGTAGATGTTTTACCTGGTGAGTGTGTTTGTCAATACGGACAGTTGACGGTGATCAAAAAGTGACGGTCATGGACTATCTCAGTCACAAGTACTCAAGTACTGAACATCCTGAGTACTTCACCCGGAAAAAAGACCATGGTTCCTTTTGCTTGCTCCCAGAAACATCTTCAAGACAAGTGGGTATTAGTACACATTTGAAATGTTAAAACGCGCTGTTGGGAGACTTGTTTTAGTGAAGTCGTGTCTGCCTGAACCTTCGCATCAGCATGCAGCAGCTCTGAACAGCCTAGTTCTAATACATTGTGCTCGGTCGGATGCGCTAAAGCCTAGCATTTTTGCGTTTCACTTATAACTTACCGATCGCCGTAGAACACACGTGAAAGCCGGTATTTCAGGTCGGTTCGAATCGGTTGTTTGGCATACCATGTGACACGTGACTTGACATCTTGACCGATGAATCGGAACAAAGTGATCAAAACACGCACGAACGCCGGAAGATCAACTGGTCTCTTGTTGGTTTTCCAATTACAACAGAATAACACTGAGAACGTAGGCTGACATTAGCCAAACGATTGAACCGAGACAAAGACAAGGAGAGACGGGCAAACACTTACCCTGGCTGATCGCCAGTGAAGGGGCGTACAGGGCGAGCGATATGTAGAACCACTGTGCAGTCCGTGTGGAGTTCGACAGTGAGGGGAAATAGAAGCGGTACCATTAGTAAGGAACAAAAGGCACAGGGCTTAGAGGAAGGCATAACCTCTCCATTTTCACCATGCCTAATTTGGTATCATTCACTGGCGACAAACTATCGGTCATTCTGATGGACCGTATAGCTAAGCATTAAAGCAAACTAAATTGTCGTCCGGAAACTTCTGTTTTTTTTTCGCACCCTTGTATCCGTCAACCAAAAATTTGTCACAAAATATAGTTTATACAATCGCCAGTAAAAGTGCAGTCGGATTTTCAACGGATCGACTTGAGAATGAGCAAACTGAACTGGATGTGAATACAGTCCAAAACATGGAATCCGTGTAGTGAGTTGAATGAACTGCGGGTTTGGACGTGTTTATCACTAGCTGTGAAAAGCAACTGTGTAACTCCGGTATTCCGCGGTTTTCTATGAATGACGCGTGTTGTGGACCACATCAGAATCTCTCCTCAAATCAGAATAGAACTGAGGAATTTAAACAAGCAACCAGTCCGCGAAAGTAGTTCAGAGTCTAGGACCTCAGTGTTCCAGGATGATATCGTCCTAATCAAACAAAACTCCACTTCGAGAAATAAACTCATTTGCAAATCAATTTGGTTTTCACGAGAGACTCAACTGAATCTCTCGTTTATGATATTCTACAACTGAATGTCATAAACGAGAGATTCAGTTGAGTCTCTCGTGAAAACCAAATTGATTTGCAAATGAGTTTATTTCTCGAAGTGGAGTTTTGTTTGATTAGGACGATATCATCCTGGAACACTGAGGTCCTAGACTCTGAACTACTTTCGCGGACTGGTTGCTGGAAGGGCAAAACCGGTCGTGGGCTGTCGAAGAGTTTTCAGCAACTTTGTGAGTAGTTTCCTTTATGAAAACTCCACTTCCACTTCGATTTGAGTAGAAGACGGAAACAACGTGAGGCATGCGCATTCAACAGCCAACCAGGTGATTTATGCTATACGAATGGGAATTTCCTTCCTGTGACAATAACGGCAAATCACATACGACAAGCAACGTGAAACCGAGTTATCAACCACGCTTTAACTCTGCGCATTCGCAGTTCAAGTAAACTTATTTCAGAGGAAAAGTGCAGAGGGCTAAAAGGGTCGACCTTCCGCTTTCTGAACGGATGCCCTTTGTACTTAAGAAAGGACAATATCTAGGTGCAAAAACGTACTGATTTTCGGGCGATAGTGACCATAAAATACAGAAAAAAGAACTCGCTCAAGTAACTGTGAGACAACCAAGACTCTAATAACAACAGTACCAAGTCACTGCTAGACACAAAATAACGTAGAAAACAAAAGGTCGATCAAACTACACTGGAATGAAAGACGAAGTCGAGCTCGGACAAATAGTCCGAGCAAAGAAGACTCTTTTCCTTAAAGAAAGATTTACTCGTGCTCTCTTGATGCCAACAGAAAAATCACCCCAGTGACGGAGTGCAGTCTAGCGAGTGCTCCACACACGCACACACACACACACACTAAACGGGAACCGGAATCGTCGAGGGGGTTGTTAATGACCCATCGAAGTGTTGAAGATCTACTGTTTCACAGATCCTTTCAACTGTAGCAAAGCAGCCCTTTTTATTCATCATCCATCTCACCAAAGTGCTGTTGTCGAGCGAGAAGCCTGACAGTGCTGATTCATCGCGGCATGATTGCAGCAACGCTAATCGTCTACCAATGGGAGAAGTCAACAGCTAAGTTGACTGGAAAACAGTTCCCATTGAGAACTACGGAGTTAACCGGAGCGCTTGCGCGGTCACACGGTTTTGGGCGCTGGTTGAAAGGACAGAGCGGTGCAAAGAAGGAATATAGAAATTATTGCGCTGAAATGTATTCAGTTCATTAAGAGCTACTGTATTTTCTATCTACCACGACTTCTGGACTCCACCCATTTGACATCGGTACATTGAAGGTGTGGACCTTGTCTCGTTCTCGAACTGGAATACTGTCAGTGTATCCACAGTCAGACAGAAGGACGATTAGGGTCGTCCACCAAAGCTTTTCGCTGAAAAGCCCAACCCCAAGACAACGGGTGGAAGTCAGCCAGTTCCACCCCCAACCTGGAGGACTGGGAGGCTGTGTTCATCAGAGCTCGACCCACTGAACAGCCTGGTATGAGAAGCTCTCCGGGTGTCAAGGCGAAACCCTCCAGTAGAGCCCAGTGGGAAGTAGACGTACACAAACCTCCGCACAGCGACAAAGCCCAGTTTTTTTGCACCGAATTCGAGAATGAATTCGCCTAGAATCTGGTGGGAACACTGGATCAGCAATTCTGAAGTAGGTCGAATGGTATTCGGGAGAAATAACTCACCATCGATAGATGAACTGATCAAATGCATACGTTGCGCTGGATTGGCCACATGATACGTATGCCAGTCGACCGACTTCCTCGAAGGGCTCTTTTCGCACAACCACGTGAAGGGTGGAAAAGCCAGAGGCGATCAAACAATGACTTGGCAGCGAAGTATGAAAGCCACTACCAGCAAACTCAGCTGCGCTGGTCACTGCCGTCTTCCTGGATGAGGACCCCGAAACGGGCTACATCAATTGTTAGGGGCATTGTCAGATATGGCCCAGTCGCGCCCTCAATGGCACTCATGCATCCAAGCTATTGCCTTCAATGCATAGCTCCCTTTCCAATCCCCCCAACTTGACAGCTCAGTGACAATGCTGGATTTATGCACCAATATATCGGCTGCCGCCTGCAATGCACAGCTACCTACCCACCCACCCCCCAAATCACTGGTGAACGAAACTGCGGCAGCTAAAACCACTGTACGACGAGTACGCGGTTATTACAGCTGAGAATGATGAAACATTTGTGGCGCTTTCTTGATACTCATAGCCACAAAATGTGGAAGTTAGAAATATTTCTAAGTGGGGTAAACAGAATATCCTGGTTCCCGGAAGTCTAGGTTAAGCTGTTAACGTACACGAGTATAGTGCATCAACACCACCGTACTTCGTACTTTGTCACAACATACGTGTTTTTGAGTGTTCAGACACAAAATCCCCTTGACAGAAATTCGGGGACCAGGCCCGCCTGATGAGCCCAAAGAAAGGTGGAGAACTGTCCACAGTTTTCAACGACCTCATGGGTAGTATAGAAACCAGTTAGCTTGTTTCAAATGTGATTGTATCGAAATTGTTCCAACTGCATTTGAAGAGGCTGAAGCCAAGAACTGGAGAAGAACATTTCAATGGATTTTCCAACGAGCCGAGGATTGTGTTGAAACAGGAAAGTAGGATCAAGTGGTTGTTGATGTGTTTGCCGGACTTTACAGCTTTCCGTAAGGGGATTTTCGGGCCGATTTAGGAGCAAGTGACAGGCCCACGATACTTTCCTACTGAATGTTATCCGTTTGATAAAATAAGCACGTCTGCACATCTTAATTTGTATCATTTCGTACCTTCGGTCTTACTCGCTTGTAGGTGGATATTCCGCTTCACTGTGTACAGGCTCTGACAATGCCAGCGATTGGTAATTTGTTGAAATATTGGTAGATCGGGTGGGTTTACTGGTTGTTGATCAGGTGGCTGTTGATCTGTTCGCCGAGCTTGGCAATTGGCTTGCGAACGTTTCGTCACCATACGAGGAGACATCATCAGTGCGCAGTTGAGTGGGTACTTCTTCCTTGCCTGCGTGCGTTTATATAGCATTCGAAGGCTATCTGTTATCTTCTGACGTGATTAGCACCTGATCAACAGCCAGTAATGCCAGCGATGTTGGTCCTAAGTTTGAAACCATAAAAGTCTATCTTTGTTTCTGCATACTTCATGTAGTTTACGATAATGGATCCCAAGAACTCACCATTTGAAGACAAAAGATCAGGGAAGCAATCCAACGCACACTTTTCCCGAAACGGAACTCCAGATACTAAGGGAAATGATGGGGGGGTAAATCGACAAAAGAGTGAGTGCTCCGAAAAGACTCAACAAGCATTGGAGTACTATAACTTTTCATTACAGTGGCTTCGTGTGGGAACTTCGACTGAGTGGCAATCGCTGGATACTCATCTGGTTAACTAAAGCACGCACCGTCCCCTAAAGAGGAAGTTCCAAACAGAGGCTACAAGGACCTTTTGTGTCGGTAGTGACTTTAAAGAGGACTTTTGACCACGAGAGACTGCTTTCTCCGTGGTGTTCTCTTGTTAGAAATGAAATTACGGTACACGGCATTGAAATATTTTGATCCAACACCCAATTGAACCAACAAAGCCTCATTTGTCCTAAAAACGTTTCGTCTTATACCTTGAAATATGATGATGATGATGATGATGACAATCATCTGGAACGTCATCGACATTATGACACCAACAGTTCACCACTACGCAGTCTTAGTTTACATGAACATAGAGAGAGCTAGAAGCGAATGGGAAAGAAACCTTATGCCAGTCTGTTGAAAATCTTCCGTGCTGTCTACAATTCTGGACACTTATTCAGAGAAGTTGAGTGGGAGGTGTCATGAACACTGATTAGCAGACAGTATCTCCTACCAGGGAGTGGGGTCACGTGCATCCTTTCCTGAAAGACGGCAGTCTGTTTGTTCATGACGGAGAAAAACGAATGGAGTCGATGGATACGAGTATCTGCATTCAACTTGTTTCTACGATTCTGCAATATTATTAGGCCCAAAAAATTGCCCAAAGTGATTGGAGAAATCATGATTGTTTAGCTAAAATCATTACCGTTTGTTTTGTCAACGACAGCTTGAAATCTTGGCATGTAAGCTCCACTTCAAAGGGGCTTGGGTAGAAATATTCTTTTTCTCATGCCAATGGCTGCATTCTGAAAGCGACTCTGTTACGTAATATCAAGTGATGCTTGTAGACAATACATGCGTTCAGTACCTAGCTGCTATGCCACCCGAAGAAGGCAAGAAGACTGGTGTACTGCCAAGTTGCCCAAGGCTAGACAGTCGCGATGCCCGGAGGTTGAATTCGAGTCAGGAAACTTTCGGTCACAAAGTTCACGCCTTGATCATTGGGCTATCTCGAGCTCTGACAACGCAACTGTGATGGGTTAACCAAACAGATCAGTGTGATTAAACTACATGAGTTCAGTTCCGAAGGCTGCATGCGATCGTTCCTCCGGCCCCCGTTTTTACACGATTTTGGTCGTATAGAAGAAACTGGCCTTGCCGAAACAAACGATAAGACATGACAATCGGGTTATCAGTAGTATGTCACAAAATCTACTTCATGTATCAACGGTTTACACTTGTAATCATTCAGCTGTACACCCTTTCGGTGCCTGGCTGCCACATATCTGGAAGAAAGCATGAGGGCTGCCGGATTGCTTAAGCCGAGACAGAGGGCGCTGAGGTTGGGTTCAAACCCCATGGACGTTCCGGTCAGTAATTTCGCACCTTAGCCACTGAGCTAACTCGAGTTCATGTATAAATACAAAAATGGCTGCTACCTACTATGTTTTTTGGATGCAAGCTAGTTTGGACATTCACCTGAGACCTTTCACCTAGCGTGTACACCCGACTTTAACTAGCCTGCGTTCTGAAAGGTGCAATGACACAATCCCGACTGATGCATATCACCAATTGTGAACGCATTCGTAGCTAGATCCAAAAAGTATCGTTTTCCAGGACCGAGTTCCCGGCAAATTCCTGGTACAACGTGTAACAAAAACACCTTGTTCGGTTTTCCGCGCTTTTTCTCAATTGTATTCATGTTACGTCAGGGTTTTCAAACTTGTAGAGACCAAAAACCAGAAAATCGTCGGGCTCTAGCTAAAATCTTTTGTGATCAGAAATTATTTCCGCCAAGAAGCTATCAGCAACTCTGTACATTTGACGAGTGTGAGTAACTTACTCAAACGGGACACGATAGCGTACATGGAGCGCAACTGACCGAGAGTTCTGTTAAATTTGACCAAAATGGTCTTTGAAGTATGGTTTTTAGCCTTGACACTAGGACGCTCAACTCCAGTTTTTCGTTGAGTTGTCAAATTGAAACGTTTTGCCCATTATTCGAACCTAACCCTGGAATCTCGACAAGTTGGACAACCTGGCCGTAGCTCAACCCTTGTGCTTCCTTCGGGTGGTAGCTCGGTAACTAAAGAGTGTTACAACTGAATGGACGGTCAGTCTCTAAAGGTCGACCAACCTGGGTAAGCACATGGAAGCTGTGAGCTTGCCATGGGTTGACAATACAAACCAGTGACATTGAAACCGTTCGGGTGACCTTTTAGCCTGCACCTGAAAGAACGAAGTTTGTCGCAAGAACAACAACCCCGACTTGCACAATTAACAGCCGGTCTGCTTCCCGAACCCATTGTTTTTTTAATGCACTACTCATAAGGTTGCTGAAAATTCGTCGACCTTATGAGTGGTGCACTAAAAATATACGTGTCGCGATATCTCGAATATCGTAGCGAGTGAAACATGAGGCGGCCTGGTGCAGCACATTCAGTTGTCTGGAAACATGACAAACGAGAGATTCAGCCGGGTTCCAGGTGAGTCTCTGGCGAGAGCGAATTTGTTTGCAAATAAGTGTATTCTGCAAAGTGAATACACATTCCGTTTCATAATGATGGGAGCCACGTGTCACATAGATGGCAGTAACTGGGATTTCTTGAGCCCGAAAATAAAATGAGCACACTTTTGAGGTTCTAAAGTAGATTTCGCTTGGAAACAGCCCACAAACATTCCAGCACTCATCATTCAACACTCAAATACGATTTAAAACTTCTTGTGTTGATAAATCTGTCTTAAACCACCTTGTCATCATTGTGCCGACTGGAACATTTGATGATTCCATTACATTCAGACATTCTTCGAGGGAACCTCCTTGAGAAGGCTGGGATCACACGTTTCGTTGTGGCGCGTTCCACTCGCCGAAACACAGGAGTGTGGAAACATCAAAAACAAAAGATTCAGCTCGGTTCCAGGTGAGTCTCTCGAAAAAACAAATTAGTTTGCAAATGAGTGTACTTCGACACTGTTTTTTTTACTTATGCAGTTTCACCTATTGTAATTGCCCCAAGTGGGACAAGAGCAGTTGCCTTTCCAAAAACACAGTCGAATAGGTTAGTCGCACCATCCATGAGTTGGCAACGAGACTATGTTGTGGCTAAATGGTTTTTCAGAAAAGATACCATTTGGAGATATCCTTCTTCGGCCAGTTCACCAGTAGCTCTGCTCTCCTCTCCACCGGAGAAACTATGGACTACTGTCACACCGCATTTGAAACCACGAACTCAAACGTCCAGTTGGCGTAGTATCACCGGAGGTTCTAGTTATTTTTTGAAATTCAAATTTATCAACATCCCATTCATACTAATGAGAGCTGGAGGAACTAGCTATTGGCAAAAACATGGGGCAACCGGGTTACAACAGTGACGATAAAAGTGAGCCACAAATGAAGGTCTGTGAATTCATTCCGTTGCGACGCAAAAAAGCTGTGTGTGGATCTTATTCATTCTATTCTAATTGATTCTACCTGTTAGCTTCTTCTGACCGAGATGCTACCAAAGTGCCAGAGTTATCGAACTTCATACACAAATGGTATTTGAGTTTCGATCAAAGACTCCTTTCTAACGTCGAACACAAATCACACCATGTCTAAGTAACGGTAGTTAGGATGAGTTTATTGGCTGTTGATCAGGTGGCTGTAAGCCAAAGTGGTCGAACAGATCAACCGTCACCTGATCAAAAGCCAATAGAATCGCGCGCCACAAATGTTGGTAAAATGACGGACAAAATCACTGGCGTTGTTGCCCAACCAAGGAGGAGTTGAGAAAGCATCAGCTTTTTCCTCCATGATTGGTGAATTATCACAGTAATCTCACTGAGAAACCCTAAGTGGAAAAGCCTCTTTTAGGAATGTTTTTTCTGTCATACTTGATGTCTGCTTGCTGTAACTATCATACAGAAAATTATTCCTCCTCTCTCATAACACGAAGACGTACAAACGCGTTTATTATGGGGGAATTGAAATAGTTTATCATGCCTCTTGAAAACGTCGGAGAGTAACTGCAATTTCATCACCCGCCTCTCGCTAACAGAAGCACGTGCGCCGTGTAAAAAGTGTTTTATCCTCAAGGGGATGTAAAACTACGTTAGTCTCCAGAAAGTAAACAAAGCTTTCTTTGTTAACAAACAGTCATATGAACTCTAGCAATTACAAAATACTCGCGATTTATCAATCCGGGTTGTGTAGTCACACCGTTATTGATCCATTTGCTTTCTGATCTGTTCCCGTTTGAATGATTTCTGTTCACATGACAACGTTAACTTTGTCTATGCTATCCGTTATCAGTTTCAATTTGGACTTGGTAAAAGTCGTTGGCGAACCAAGTGGTTTTGAACAGCTACTAGCAACCATCTCTTGAAAATTCTGGCCACAAACCGCACCTTGACGAGAGAGTTTGGAGATCGGAAGCATGCAAAGAGGACAGATTGGACTCGTGGATATTCTGTTCCCTTACCTAGATCCTTCATTCCAATTTGAAACTCATCCCAGTTAGCTGCAACGTCCCCTCAGTGCCTAGCTGCCATTCCACCCGAAGGAATCACGAGGGCTGGGATACTGCCAGGTTGCCCTAGCCTAGAGAGGAGAAATCGCGATGCAGAAGTCGGGTTCGAAACACACGGACGTTCCGATCAGTAAATTCGTGCTCTAACAACCAAGCCATCTCTCTCAGTGATCCCTAGAGAATCAGGCAGAACATGTGCCATCCGCGGGTGCAACAATAAACAGTCTAACGCGGTATACATCGGGACGTAGGGGGGGTACTGATCTATATAAAACGTCAATACTCACCTCGTGTGCGCTGGTTAATCGAAGTTTATAGAACACAGGCATGTAGATTTCCGCAGCAAGTGGAAACGCGATACAGTAGGCCAGAATCATGCAAATGAATTCGATCCCATAAACATATGCCTCCATCGTTGTGCCCATCAGAGAGACAGCGGACAAGAAACTGGCCATCACACTGCAGACGATAGGAACTAGTGACAATTGACGATTTCCCAGGAAGATGGTTTCCGTGTCATCTTGTTTCACTCGTTCCTGGTGATTGCGATGCAAACACTGGTTAATTTTCCGGCGAATCGGTGTCCGAAACCGGTGGTACAGGCCAACAGCCGAGTAGATGAGCAGCCAGAATGCAAACATTAAATAGTCCGACCAGTGGAATGTGACATCCATCTTGAATGGTGCGTGTACGATGGGTGGTCACGCGGATACCAGATGAATGGAGCTGAAAGTGATTAAAACATGATATTATCCCCTGGTTGACCGAAAAAGGTGTTTAATGCTCAGATACTCAGGCGTGGGCCCGCGTAAAACGTCGACCTCGAATTTAACGCTATTCTAGAGAGGATACCTTAATGAACATTAGAAGCGGATTCCAGCTGGATTCTCCCGGGTCGAATGATTTCCAAAAGTACACAAAAACGATCCCTGCGTGGATGGATGATGCCTACATTGTCCAATGGAGCGAACTCATGAGTGCCAAAGCTTGCTGAGCTGTATAAAACGTGCGATCAGTTTCGGAGCTACCTTCTTGCTATGTGGGGATGTAAGTCATGGGTGGGTTGTGGAAAACCATGGGCCTAGAACCTTTGAGACAAACGCTTCGAGTGAACTTTCCATCCGCTTGAGTTCCATCGGAAACTTATAACTCACCCATGCTGGAGCATCATAAAACCACCAACTCCCTAGATGTGATCAAAAAATGTAATCAGGCAAACGAGTATCAGAGGTTTAGTTGAACTCAAGTTCCGTTCAGCTGTGGCACCCTTTCGGTGCCTAGCTGCCATGCCACATAAGGGAGGCACGAGGGCTGGGATACTACAAGGTTGCCGAAGCCTACACAGGGGAAGTCGAGAGGCAGAGGTCGGGTTCGAACCACGGACCTTCCAGTCAGTAAATTCGCGCTCTAACCACTTGGTCCATCTTCAACTCAAGTTATGGTCAAATAAGAATCATGTTTTCGATCTATGCTCATTAAGTAGAAGGCTTTACCTTTTTCTAACCAATGGCCTAAGGTCCTAAGTTGATCAGACCACTAGTTCTCCGTTATTCGCGTTAAGTGACTCAAAGGTCGGGACACAATAGGCCTAAAAGTAGCTTTTTAGGGAATCATACTACATAGTACGTAAACGGATTTGTGCATCCGTGCCAGTGAGCAAGCTTTAAAAAAACGAGAAAAACAGTATTGGGCTCATCGGAATAGAATTTGGACAGCGAAAACCTGAAATGGTTGATAAAGTCCGTGACAACCGTAATGATGTTTCATCGCTAGAATCAGCTCAAAGTTCATAATATAAATTAGCGTACTTCAGCAGGAACAAAGCTCCATATCAGAAGGATTNACAAAAAAAATCACTGGGTAGGTTTATCCCAGTCTTTTGCTTCACTTCGGAACGAAATGAAGGGATGGTCAAGTGCAGAACGGTAACTAAACGATCAAGAAACACGTTGAAAATACACGTGTTCATACATCTAATCGGTCACTTCACCGGTCATCACTAGGCGTTCGGATGGTTCGATGCAGTATTAAGCAGTCTTCCAAACTATCAGCTGAGGGAGACTTCAGTGTCAACTCCAAGGCAAGTTGTATCTCAATCTGGGGAGCTTCCGTCAATAATTCCAGTAAGGTTCCATCAAGCTGTGTCCCAAACTTGGTTTAGATGTGAATGTATGATTCATAGCTCATGCAAACTATTTGAATGATTGTTCATAGTCACACCACTCTCGTTTGAACGGTCGTCCTCCCGTTCTGGCGTAATTATTCCGGTGAGTCCAAACCAACGGGGGGAAGCACTGGAGCCGAGTTTCGCTTTTATTAGAGCTCATCAGCAGTGCATATCCAATGGCCGTGCCGGGATTTGAACCCCGGACATCTGACATGCGAGGCGAGCGTGTAACCACTGGTCCACCAACGCACGTTGGACGCATCTGAATTATCACGTCTGAACAGGCGAACGTGTTCACACTTGACCGATGTGATTGGTGTGCTCGACTTACCATCGAACGACGACCCAGTAACTGTCCTGAATTATGCCATAAACTACGGGCGGGATATTTTGATGCATACGAGTGTAAAACGGTACTGCCTCCCGTATTTACTTAAACAGGAAGCAGCTCTGTTGAAGAATCATTTCTGAATGACTTTACTTTACACAACAGCTGTTGAAAACACCCAAAGACAAACGGAATTCCTCGTTTCAGAAGGGTTTGCTAAACAATTGGTAGTTTTATAACTGGGTCGGATAAAGTCACCCAGGTATTAAGGCAGATGGAGAACGAACTCAGAAGGGTTTGCTAAACAATTGGAAGTTTTATAACTGGGTCGGATCAAGTCGCCCAGGTATTAAGGCAGATGGAGAACGAACAGGTGTTATGATATGTCATTGTCCATTCAAACCGAGTGCCCCACGATTTGAAGGATAAACTGGGTGCATATCGAGTGCTAGTGCATTGAACATAGGATACAATACACATTTGAAAAATGCTAAGGTTTTGAAGTGGCGACTGCGGTTCACGCCACAGGGGCTATTCGACAAGGCAGCGGAAATCGTCAGGCATCCCAGTGTAAATGGATTAGTGAGAGTAAAATTAGCAAGCGCGTGGAGAACGGTTTCAGATTAATCGAGCTGACACGTAGTAGTATGCGGAAAGAAAGTGTTCAGATTTGAGGTGTATGAACCATATCGACTAAAAAACTCCATGTGCGCTCATCTATCCCGACCAAATTGTCGCGGCACTTACAGAGCCACACAGACCAACAAAATATTTACCCTGAATCACAAGTTGAAGCGCCTCGAAGCGGAAAATCAAAGACCTAAATGCGATCGAAAACGAGCTGAAATTTACCCAACCCATCAACCGTAAGATTTAGGCAACCGCACTGACCGACAATACCACTGACTGACATTTAAGCCGATCGAAAGAAATTTTGTCGACTGGGTGTCCATCTGGCCAACTTGGTCACCTACTCAGGTTTACCAAGCCATTCCGAAACGATGACTCCCCAATCGGTTCCAAACTTTTTCCAATTGATTGAAAATGGAATTCCAATACCGCAATGAAGAGGACACGTGCAGTGGTAGCAAGTGTGGAAAAAATCGACCAATCGGGTGTCACCTAACGGTATAGATCGATTGGTCACTCGAATACCGAGGAAGAGTAGGGTGTTTTCTCGCCACCGTTGCACGAGGAAACAGAGTTTTCACGAGAAGATCCCGAATAAAACGTCTCCGGATGCAGAAAGTACTGAATGATGTTGTTCCAAGACGAATGCAGTCCAACAGGCCGTATAATAAGAGACATGCAATAAATGCCAACGAACGAAACCATTTTTTCACGTAATGCACGCAGAAAAGTTGGCCCAAAACAGACGGGATTCTCGCCATCCACACACCCAATTCGAGCATGTTTCTGACTTGGACCCATTTGTTGGCGTGCATAATTACGGAGCTGTCTGTCTCCGACGCACTGTATTCTATGTGAAATAAGTCAGACGTCATCCCCTCACTGACCCGACTCAGTTTACAACGAATTCCAAGTAGCAGGGATATTGATGGCTGCAGTAGAAAAATGGACAACGTATGACTTGGCAGAAGAGGGAGTAGAACATATTTCGGAGAGTTTGGGTGCTGTTGGTGCTGTACGCCTTCCAGGATGGGGTCCCCGTGAACTCGCCTGCGCTTGGATGAAGACATTGCAAGAAATGGCGGCTGATTGGTGGCGTTCGTATTGTCAGTTTCCTTCCAGATTGTTTGAATGAGCGGTTGAAAGTGTAGGCACCTCAGAATGCCTGACAAAAGGCCGGCACTAGGTCCCCTCCCTCCCTCGCTCGTTTTCTCTTCTTTGCAATCAGGCTTTGTCGTTGTACGGCAGTCAGACGTCAGTGTCAACAGTGATGCTGCCTTCTCTGATGATGATAACGAGCAAGAAAATTTTGAATCGCTTTCCTGAGGGTGCTCATTCTATTTCGAAAAGTGAAGCATCTTTTGATAGGACCAAAAGTGCCTGCTCACGGAGAAATGCTTGATTGCTATGGTAATAAATGAAGGTTACGTATAACTGCTGGTTTTTACAAGTGTTGGTAGGAATCGCTCACCTCTCGCACAGCTCTAAGAGAGAACGGCTATGTGCCTCTTAAATCGGTTCTTTTGATGTCATTTCGTCTTTCAGTAGCAATTTTCAATACGTACACGGCTTTCATATAAAGCCCACCAAGTCCGCAGTTTGTGCAGGGCATTTCTCTCAAAGAATCTACGCAGATGCGCATCTCCGTCCACCAAGAAAGGTGTTTTCTAAGCTTAACTCTGAAAGGCACAGATTGAGACCGATCTTGGTGACCGATTGAATTGTAGTAAGACGATTACACAAGGAGTGAGAATTATCGGTATCAACTGACTTCCAAGTGTTTTCAGAGTACTGTCCAAGCTGGTGAGGAATTAACACAATGTTATCGCGAACATTCGTTGGGGAAGTTCCTTTTGTGCAGACTAGAAATTACTGCGGCGAATTCAAATTTGGATCACACTTTTTCCTTCCGCTACAGATTTTTTCACATCGATCGATAAGGTCGTAAGTTGAAACATTTGAGTTCCACACCGATGTTAGGGCAAGAAACGATAACAACCAATCTTTCCAGAAGTCTGTGACACAAACATGTGGTCTCTTCCGCGAGAATTTCGTTTAGTTCTATTGGTTCACGTAAGACATCGGGAAATTCGATCTGTCTGGTTTTCCATCAGTAGATCCAACACCGACCTTTAACGCCATATGTATAACCCGCTCTTCTATCGAAACCGAACACAAAAGGCCGGCACTAGGTCCCCTCCCTCCCTCGCTCGTTTTCTCTTCTTTGCAATCAGGCTTTGTCGTTGTACGGCAGTCAGACGTCAGTGTCAACAGTGATGCTGCCTTCTCTGATGATGATAACGAGCAAGAAAATTTTGAATCGCTTTCCTGAGGGTGCTCATTCTATTTCGAAAAGTGAAGCATCTTTTGATAGGACCAAAAGTGCCTGCTCACGGAGAAATGCTTGATTGCTATGGTAATAAATGAAGGTTACGTATAACTCCTGGTTTTTACAAGTGTTGGTAGGAATCGCTCACCTCTCGCACAGCTCTAAGAGAGAACGGCTATGTGCCTCTTAAATCGGTTCTTTTGATGTCATTTCGTCTTTC